TATTCACTGCCTGCCCCAATGTAGGTGAAGGGTCTGCGCAAAATGGCTGCGAGGACCCTTCAGATAGCCTGCATGGGCTTTAGACCAAAAAAAAAAAGGAGTGTATGTGTGTGTATGTGTAAATATCGTGTGTATATGGTTGGGTTGGGGTATTTCGTGCTTTTTTTTTTTAACTTCTTTTTTTTAATTCCCGTAGTGCTCGACGCGCGCGTGCGCCCCGCGGGGTCGCGTTCATTTTTTTCGTGTTTCGTTGTGCGCAGCGCGTTTGAACGCGGCCCCGGGGGGTATGAACGCGCGCTTTTGAACGTGAACGCGCGTTCGGCGCGTTCAACCGGTTGCACAGGCCCACATACCTGAATAATAGGTTGAATTCCCTTTTCACTTGTAGTGTTCAATATGAGTGTCAAATAGTTATATGCTTCCATCGGGAATTTCCAATAATACTTCTCTCTCTCTCTCTCTCTCACTCTCTCTCTCTCTCTCTCTCTCTCTCTCTCTCTCTCTCTCTCTCTTGGTCGGCATTTGGTTTGGCCAACAACCTAGAAAACTAAGATATGTCGGCAAAATATATCCGGTCCACAGACAACTCAGAACTTTTCACTGGAGTGCTCAATATGAGTACCTAATGGCTACCCACCTCCTTCGGGAATTTCAAATAATAATCTCTCTCTCTCTCTCTCTCTCTCTCTCTCTCTCTATCTATCTATCTATCTATCTATCTATCTATCTATCTATCTATCTATCTTTCTGTGCATTTAATTTTGTCAATAGTTATAGGGAATTCAAGTAGGGTTGCCTATCGACCGGATATATCCTGCCCATGTACCTGAATTCCCTTTTCACTTTTAGTGTTCAATATGAGTGCCTAATGGTTACCCACCTCCTTCAGGAATTTCCAATAATAATTTCTCTCTCTCTCTCTCTCTCTCTCTCTCTCGCGCGCGCGCTTGGTCGGCATTTGGTTTGGTCAGTAGTCCAGAAAACTAAGATAAGTGGGCAAAATGTATGTGGTCCACTACAACTCGCAGCTTTTCACTAGAGTGCTCAATATGAGTAACTAATGGTTACCCGCCTCCTTTGGGAATTTCAATTAATAATCTCTCTCTCTCTCTCTCTCTCTCTCTCTCTCTCTCTCTCTATCTATCTATCTATCTATCTATCTATCTATCTATCTATCTTTCTATCTATCTATCTATCTATGCATTTAATTTTGTCAATAGTTATAGGGAATTCAAGTACGGTTGCCCATGGACCGGATACATCTTGCCCACATACCTGAATTCCCTTTTCACTTGTAGTGTTCAATATGAGTGCCAAATAGTTACCCGCCTCCATCGGGAATTTCCCAAAAAAAATTTTCTCTCTCTCTCTCTCTCTCTCTCTCTCTCTCTCTCTCTCTCTCTCTCTCTCTCTCTCTCTCTCTCTCTCTCTTTCCTCTCTCTCTCTCTCTCTCTCTCTCTCTCTCTGGGCCCTTGTGCGGTTCGTTAGGTTGTCCGGTGGTCCGTGGGGGGTTTACCTCCCCGCTGAGTACCCCGGGCTATGCCAATTTTTGGGGCCGAGAGGGGTGTTGATTATGGGGGATCTTGATTGGCCGGGTATCACGGGTTTGTGCTTTGTCTTTGTTTTATTGCCTTTTGTTGTCTATTTCTTAGTTTTTCTTTCTTTTTTTCTTTCCCTTTTTCCTTTTTTCCTTCCCTTTTTTCATTTTATTTTTTTTTCTATTTTTCTCCTTTTTTTTTTCCTTTTTCTTTATTCACCCTTTCTTTTTTTCGCGCCTTTCAAGTTTTTTTTGCTTTTTTGAAGAGGACCTGCAGATTTTGACATGCAGTTTGGTTCGATTGGGTTTTTTAGTCGACGGAGGTCATGGAGCAGGGTCTAGTTCGGGAAAAAAGACTCTAGGGAGATCCCGAAGTTGGAGAGGAGACCTTGTCACACGGAGTAGAAGAGGACGCACGTATGGCGCCGACATGACGATATTAATGAAGGGAAGTATTTCGGGTAAAGACGGGGAGTACGGAGAAGAGTGGGGATACGCGCGCACAGGGCGACTCTGGAGACACTGGGTAATAAAGGAAACTACAAATACGAGAAGATGAAGAGAAGGAGCTTAGAAGGGAGAGAGGAGAAGGAGAGGGAGGGAAAAGCGGTAAGTAAAGAGGGAAAGGATCGATAGAGGAAGAGGGAAGGGGAGGAGAATGAAGGCGATGAACAGTCGGTTGAATATGGGAAGCGGAAACGGAAGGGGAAGGAGAACAGGAAGTCGGAAGGAGATCGGAAGCTGGGGTACAAATAAGGGGAAGAAGATGGATGAAGGCGAGATGCCTGAGAGGAAGGTGCGAAAAAAGAAGAAGAGAAAAGAAAAAAAAAGGAAATGCGGATGAGAGCATTGTAGTCGTTGAAATTGTAGGATGCGCATGGATAGAAGGTATTTAAGGACAGAGAAAGGACAAACACAACATTCCTTTTTACGAGAGTGGTTAAGCCTCCTGACGAGTCCGCTGAGTTAGCCAGCGGTGAAACGCGTAGAGGCGATGCGCACCATTTTTTGAGCTTCTAATGTTTTGAAGGAATCGGGGATATCTAGCGCAAGTGTGAAATGTACTTACCTTTTGTGCTCTCTATTCTCGATGAACGTGGTAACCGGTGATGGTGGACATAACGTGGTGGCTACGGTTGGAACGAAGCGTGGCCAGAAAATTCGGTGCGTGAGCGTCTTCGAAGGATTGGGTTGCAATGCGGAAATGAAGAAGTAGGAGAGAGTGATCGTCCTCTTAGACCATGCCCGTGAGAGCCGGGCGCGCTTGGACCAGTTTGAAGAAGGCGTGAGGGTGGGAATTGGTGGAGTCTGGAAGTGCGCATCATAGTTACAAATAGGAAGTTTATAGGGGATGAACGGTCGCAACTTTAGAGATGACGAGTTTGATAGACTATGTCAGGATGCCGAAAGCTTTGTATATGATCGCGTTGTTCATATGATCTTTGTAGCGTTAGAGTTTCTGAGTGAAGATACGAAGGAGGAGTTAATCTGTGTGTTGGAGAGGTTCCTGGGTAGGTTATATAGCGTGGGGTGTTTAGTAAGAGATAGGAGGAGAAGGAGAAGGAGGCAGTTAAGGAGGATAACGAGAATGGAGGAGTAATGCAGAATCCGGGGGCGCCAATGATGAATGGATATGGTAATGGGATGCCGGGAGCCGGCGGAAATCTGTCGGGTGTGGTTTCTTGCTATCTCTGTGGAAAGATTGGGCACTATGCCCGGAACTGCTGGTCCGCAGGGAATTTGAGACCGCCAGTTTCATAGTTGCCCGTTCAGACGGGGGGTGTAGATGAAGAGACCAAGGAACTTCGTGAGTATTTTCGGGAGAAAATTAGGAAGAGGAAGTTGGATGAGGAGAAGAGAGAACGGGAAGAAATGGAAAGGAGACGAAAATAAGAAGATAGCCGGAAGGAGCAAGAGAGGTTGAGGGAAGCGGAGGCCAGGGAAGCGAGACTTGAAGTGCGTTTAGTGCGCTTGTTGGCACAATATACGAAGGGGAACGGCCAGTCCGAGACTTCAGGGGTGAAGAAAAAATCTCCGAGGACGAAAGTGAGGGTATTGCGTGAAATTAGAAGCTATTTGGACGAATCGGAGGAGGACAGTGAGGAAGTGAGAGAGGAAGCGGGGAAACTGGTGGAAGATATTGAAAAAAGGAAAGGGAAGAGAAGAGTGAACGAGGAGGAGTGTCGACTATCTAGGATTAGGAGAGGACATCGGGGGGACCCGGTCAGAATTAAAGATGATGGGGAGGTGCGAACACCGCCGCCGACGAAGGGAAGAAAATATGATCCTAGTATCCTCGATTTTGCGATCGAACTGCATAAGCATCTTTCGGAGAAGAAAGTGCCCAAACTACGGAAATTGTGCAACCGGGAGGGGATTGAATGGTCGATAAGGGACACCGTTATCGGGGAGTTGGTAAAGTGCAAGGCCAAAGTGGCATATGGTGAATTCGCTGAGAGTGGGCGGATCTCTCCCTTGTTCGAGAAATAATGGAGGTAAGTTTGGAACTCGTGAAGAAAGCGATGCTATCTCGGAATGTGATGAGCGATGGGAAAGGGAGATTGAAGGTGCAGGAGGAAGATCGCATTTTCCGATTAGTTTTACTATGTGTGATTAAAGGGAACTGCCCGTGGGCTCGGAAGTGGGTAGGATTGGTGAGTGGCAATGGGAGGGATATGTCAACATCGAACCCGGGTGTGTATGTCCTGGCGAGCCCTTGGTGTCGCCATTTTTACATCGGATGTACAGCAAGAGCAGTTATCACGCAATGGTCCGATCACGTAAGTCTAGCAGTTCAGGGGGTGTTGGGGAATGCTCCGAAGCTGCATGCTTGGCTACGGATTTTTTGGTGGAAAAAATATCTTGCCATTCCTCTGGTTGATGGCGTACGTGATTTATTTGTAGTAGAAGCGGACTTGATTAGGAGATTCTCACCATCTTTGAATACCCAAGAAATATCCCAGGTGGGGAGGAGGACGAGAAGGAGGAAAGGGAAGAGAGAGAGAGGGAAGGGGCGGTCGAACGTCATTGGGGAGACAATGATTAAGTTTAATGAACAGGCGTCGCTGATTGACTTACTGAAAGAGTTGGGGGGAAGCATAGGGAACCATGCCATATCCTCATCCGGAGCCAGGGTATGGATAGACCGGTGGAAAGTGGTTCGGGGGAAGGTGGGAGAAACCACTTTGATTATTCAGGGCAAGGAGACTCCGATCAAGAATTGTAAGAAGTTTTGGAAGAGGGGGGTATATTTCCGATTGGAAAGATTCAGATTCTACCTTCAGGCATTGAACACCGTAAGAATGTGTTGAGGGACGTCATGCGGCGACCTTGGAGGATTCAGGGCATGTATCGGAAGGGAGCACGTGAGCTGATAGCATTGTACCGGACCTGCGCGCTGTTTGCGGAAAAAAGGAGCAGGAACTGAACCAAGAATATTGTGCCTCGAGTCGTGAAAAGTAAGTATGGGGTTGAAATCAGTAGAAGACCCTGCGTCAAGGTGCCCTTCTCCCCGGCCGTGAAGCTGGGAGCTGTACGGGAAGTCGCGGTCGGGATGATAGTTCGAGGAGTGGCTGATCCGGACGTTGCACGGTTCATAGCCGGGAGAGTTAGAGTGGTTGTAAAGAAGAGATCTACGGTCGGGATGGTGATCCACAATCAGTGGAAGTGTGCGGAGCTGGTGGCAGCCGAATGCACATGTCGTGGGTTCGAATTGCAGAGAAGTGAAGGCCATGTGAAGGTGAGAATGAGTGAGGTAGCGGACGCTCCGAGCTTCGTTTGGAACTCCCGAAATGTGACAAGTGGATGCGTGGTGTCTCCGGACGCGTTGGAGAAGTGCATCCGGGAAGGTGTGGAAGGATGGGTGAAGGGAAAGGGACATCCCATGCAGAGCACTGACATTGATAAGTGCTACGGAGGGGGGGACCACGCGAACTCGTTAGCGTTATTAGCAAACCAAGTGAGATCGTGGTTTCGTAGATACGATCAGTTGGTGGCGGTACCCATCGATAGGAACCCGGGAGCCACGCTCCTTATTTGCCTAGTATTGTACCATCGTGCGTGCGTGGAAATGTTCAATCTTAATCCAAGTTTTCAAGCTATGAGGAGTTCGGAAGAGCGGTTACTTGCACGGATGAAGGAGGAGTATGTGCGGAAGGGGCTGGACCGGATTGCTCGATGGCAAACAGGAGGAAAGATTGGCCTAGCGTACGTATTACCTAAGGATAAGGACTTAGGTAGGTGGAGGTCAATATCGCCTTGCACTTTCGATCCGCCCAAGATGGCGGCGGCCCAGGTAGGCAAAGCCATCCGCTATATGCTGTTCGGAGTGCGTATTGCCGATCATTTGGATCTCAAATCGATGGATGAGCTGGGGGAGATGTGTAAGGTGTTTCAGAGGGAACTGAGGGTGATTGGAGAGGGCGTGATGGCACCGCCCTCCCTTGGGATCCTGTGGGGCAGATGGAGAGCATCAGGGCGACATGCGTGACAAATACGAGGTCATGAGATAGTGGGCGTGGCGGATCATAGGGTCGTACATCAGGATCAGGGACACGACATTCGGAGGGTAGAGGTTTAGACAGTCTTTCTCCATAGTCGCGGATGAAGACTCGACCTCATGGACTAGGTTCGGTGAGGAAGGTCACTCAGGCGATGCGAGACATGCAGCCAGGATTAGGTGACATACCCACATTTCAAAGACTTCCACCGTTGTTGTGAGGGGGGGACATTGTGGTGGATACAGCAGGTTGGGGTTGAGGCGAGATTGGAGGAGCACGTTCGGACAGTACTAGCGCCGGTCCTTTGACACAACGTAGCGCACGCGTGACAGGTGCATCGACACAATGGACGGGGACCACCACAGCGGGGGCACGTGTGCTGACCCCTTCGACGACTATCGATCTGCCTCCGACCCACCTGCCGGATAGAGGAACAGCGGGCCGCATCTTAGAAGAGGATGTTAGGGACAGGAGACCGCGCCCTGCTGCCTTTGCACCTGGCCCGTATTCCTTGGGGATTGACGATTTGTAGATGCCTGTGGGACAATTTTACGCTATCACGGACATGTTCGCGAGACTGTCCCACGAAAGCGTGCTTGAAGCAGTCAACCGGGTGACTGGATACCTTGAATCAAAGTGTCTGACGGGTGTGAAAGTAAGTACGAGAGGGAAACTATGCGCGATGGTGAGGAGGGTGAGGAAGGAAGATGGGTTTGTGAATATATTGTTTGAAGAAGTAAGGCGCGAAGTGAAATTTGAGTTCTCCCAGTCCTTCATACGATGTGCTGGGAGTATATTGTCCCATAAATTTGGGATTCCAATGGGTAGAAACTCCAGCCCTGCGCTGGCCTGCCTCGTCTGCACGAGGGTTGAAGCCAAGTTCTTGGAGAGGATGGAAGGAGATAGGAGGATGGTTAGAGGGATGAGGATGATTGACGACGTGGCAGTGATGATTGGATACTCACATCGCAGACCTGAATCGCTTCGGAGAGCGAATCGGATTTTTGATGAATTTGAGCATTGCTACGACGAGAACGTGAAGCTGGTGAGAAAGGATGAAGGGGGAAACCCGTTCAATTTTTTGGGAACCCGGATCGTTGTCGAAGTCGAACCCGTGAAGATCAACGTAGCTCCAAGAGCCTGGAATCAGATATCGCTACTTCAAGACGGGACTTTGAGAATTCAGTCGATGCAGGACTTTTCTTCGTTCATAAGGAAGGCAGCTAAGAAAGCATCCATATAAGCGACGTTGGTGCGACTGAACCGATTGTCCAGCTCCGGAGAGGCAATGAAGGCGGCCATAGCCGCTTTGATGTGGGAAACTCGCCTCCGGGGGTATCGCCTGGAGGTCTCTCTCGGGGCCCGAGCGCGGTTCGCTAGGTTGTCCAGTGGTCCGTGGGGGGTTTATCTCCTCGCCGAGTACTTCGGGTTATTAAAATTTTTGGGGCCGAGAGGGGTGTTGATTATGGGGGATCTTGATTGGCCGGGTATCACGGGTTTGTGCTTTGTCTTTGTTTTATTACCTTTTGTTGTCTATTTCTTAGTTTTTCTTTCTCTTTTTCTTTCCCTTTTTCCTTTTTTCCTTCCTTTTTTTCGTTTTATTTCTTTTTCTTTTTTTCTCCTTTTTCTTTTCCTTTTTCTTTATTCGCCCTTTGTTTTTTTCGCGCCTTTCAGTTTGTTTCCCTTTTTTTGAAGAGGACTTGCAGATTTTGACGTGCAGTTTGGTTCAATTGGGTTTTTTAGTCGACGGAGGTCATGGAGCAGGGTCTTGTTCGGGAAAAAAGACTGTAGGGAGATCTCAAAGTTTGAGAGGAGACCTTGTCACACGGAGTAGAAGGGGACGCATGAATGGCGCCGACATGACGATGCTACTGAAGGGAAGTATTTCGGGTAAAGACGGGGAGTACAGAGAAGAGCGGGGATACGCGCGTAAAGAGGGAAAGGATCGATAGAGGAAGAGGGAAGGGGAGGAGAATGGAGGCGATGAACAGTCGGTTGAATATGGGAAGCGGAAACGGAAGGGGAAGGAGAACAGGAAGTCGGAAGGAGATTGGAAGCTGGGGTACGAATAAGGGGAAGAAGATGGATGAAGGCGAGATGCCCAAGAGGAAGGTGGGAAAAAGAAGAAGAGAAAATAAAAAAAGGGGGAATGCGGATGAGAGCAGGTTTGGACCAGATAGAAAAGGAGTTAGCCGTGGGTGTTGTCTATTTGGTCGCGGAGGTCGAGGATTAGGATAGCATTGTAATCGTCGAAATTGTAGGATGCGCATGGATAGAAGGTATTTAAGGATAGAGAAAGGACGAACACAACATTCCTTTTTGCGAGAGCGGTCAAGCCTCCTGACGAGTCTGCTGAGTACACCAGCGGTGAAACGTGTAGAGGCGATGCGTACCGTTTTTTTAGCTTCAAATGTCTTGAAGGAATCGGGGATATCTGGCGCAAGTGTGAAATGTACTTACCTTCTGTGCTCTCTATTCTATTCTCTCTCTCTCTCTCACTTGCTCATCATTTGGTTTTGCGAATAGTCCAGGGAACTAAGATAAGTGGGCAGGATGTATCCGGTCCACAGGCAAGCTGCAACTTTTCACTAGAGTGCTCAGTATGAGTACCTGATGGTTACCCTCCTCATTCACGAATTTCAAATAATAATCTCTCTCTCTCTCTCTCTTTCTCTCTCTCTCTCTCTCTCTCTCTCTCTCTCTTTCTCTCTCTCTCTCGGCATTTGGTTTTGTCAATAGTTCAACGAACTCAGATATGTGGGCAGGATGTATCCGGTCCACAGGCAACCTGCAACGTTTCACTAGAGTGCTCAATATAAGTACCTAACGGTTACCCTCCTCCTTGAGGAACTTCAAATAATAATCTCTCTCTCTCTCTCTCTCTCTCTCTCTCTCTCTCTCTCTCTCTCTCTCTCTCTCTCTCTCTCTCTCTCTCTCTCTCTCTCTCTCGCTCGGCATTTGGTTTTGTCAATAGTTCA